AGATTTTTCTCCAAAGAAAATACAATTTGATAATCAGTTACTTAGAATAGTATTTTAAGCTGGTCATAAGGCTTTTTTGATCCATATCTGTAGGTTAAACGGTCACAGTTCCGTAATGAATAATTGATACTTTTGATTGTGTCAGGTGCATTTCATTTGTTAACCTACACCGTCACACATAATAGCAAACATCAATACCATTATGAACATTTTAGCATTATATTTTGACAAAAAGGCTCCAAACTTGGTCAACTTCTATGCAAGTCGACAAAGCGGATTTTTTAAAATATATTTTTTCCATTTTTCATTTTTATTTGCATAATGGTAAATACCATATAGCTATGAATATTATCTTAAGTGATCCTTGTAATATTTTAGCCAGTAGTTTTAGTACGTTCATATGAAGAGCCGCTTACGTGAATACGCTGGCATTAAACCATTATTAATCGTTATTATTACTAATCAATATTATTCATTATTATTATTTTTAATCAACACGAGGTAAAATAGAAACATGAGACTAGAATTGATCTTCGTAACGGCGCACGATTTTGTTAGTCTCCTTGTCTTCTCACTAAACAATTAAAACTTAGCCTAGTCGTGCGGAGTCCATAGTATGAATTAAGGCAAGTATTGAGGTATTAAGCTTGGTACAACATAAAAGAGAGGAACAAAAAATATGCTGGCCATCGTTTGAATGCGATCGAGGTTCAATATGCGTCAGTTTTTTTAAACGTTTAGAGACGCGCCTCTTTTATCGTCAAAGTGCTTTTAGATAGAATTCAGTACATTTTATTACTGAATGCATTTAAAAAAGAAATAAATTCTAAGTATTTTCGTGAGCGGTTAAAGTAAAGCTGCTCTGATCGGCGTTTTTTAGTCTTCTATTATTCAAAGTTTGTTTAAGGACTTCCCGCAGCCGGACAGCAGTTTCAGTCTTCACTCTTCACTTTCACTTTTGTGCCATTATTTCACTTGACTTTGTTTCTCTGGGAACCTTTCTTGAGTCATTGTGGTAGCTATGCCTCGCTGACGAAGTCTAACAAGACCGAAACAGCTGTCCGTGGCTGCTAACACTTTGGCTCAACCTTTCAGGTAGAAACAAAAAGCCTAGTGCTGTTCTACCGATGTCGCCTTAGTGCTCATTTTGTGGCTATCAGCTTACCATCTTTACTTTGCTTGATATGCCATTCTTAGCCACATCCTGCTTTTGTGCCATTCTTTCACATGCAAGTTGGGAATTACTTCGATTCGTGATTGGGTGAAGGGTGGAATTGCTTGCGCACGTGCGCTGATTGGCTATGAAATTACTTTGGTTTTGGTTTTAGGACACTTAATTGAAAACCACTCTAAAACGAAAGACCTAAACAAGACAGTAAACAGACCACTTTTTTGACCCAAGGGTGGGGATAGAGAATGTGGTCAATAAACCAAAATTGGCAACTTAAATATATCTTTCCTGCATTCCAACAAGCAATGATGCCAAGTCGGTCTAGCTCACTGAGGACGAAAATAATTTATGAAAATGTCCACCCCAACCTCAATCTGGTACTATTGTTTGTACGCACTGAAGTGAAGTGCGGGAAACGTTTATGTTTCTTAGTGAAAAATCCCATAAACTCTATTGGACATCAGATCCCCATCACGCAGGTTACACAGGATAGTAACAACAACTTGTTCCCAATCACAGTGGATTTTAGTCCCAAATCGTATTTGTTACTTGCAAATCAACTTTGTTTATTTGACCTCTTGGGAGCAAAGCTAATTGCCAACAACAGCCGACCGAAGACGCGAGGTTGCGAGGCGGCAGCATAATAAAGCCGCGCGTGAAAGTTTCAAGCCCAGAAAGAATCTCGAAGCGATGTAACATAAGGTAATGTAAGGTAACAATTATGACGACATACAGAACATTGTTTTCGAGCGAACACGTGATACAGAACAGAGAATCTACGAGCCGTGTGCGTGTTTGTGAGTCCCGTGGTTATTCCAACACAACCGAAACGACACAACAACAAAACAACCACAACACATGCAGGCTGCTTTCTCGTAAATTAGGCTCATTCATAGAAATTTCTAAACAAATTGAACTGCGCGCGCTAAAAGGTAATTGGTCGTTGGGACTAGCGAGAGCTATAACTAGTAATATAATAGCAATACCTGGTAAAGGAATTAACCATTTCTGGTAATATTTGTATAGGTAATAGCATGATTTGTAGTGATATTTCAAAATTGTTATACGTAATTTCACGAGCCGTTAGGCGAGTGAAATTTGAGACAATTTTGAAATATCACGAGTGGAATTTATGCCAAATATCACGTACAAATCATGCTATTAATTGTTTATACTACTACCCTTAGAAGGTTTGTAATTTTCACATGTAGGTATTTCAAATTAAGCTGAAATACCACTGCTCTAAGCCAATCAAATTGCAGAAATTTCTCATGTAGTAGCATAATGTTGTGTAATTTCATTGTTAATTAATTGATTTAGTTTGATCTTTTGTTGTTACTGGTCTTCAAATCTAAGGTTGGAAGTATCCTATATGTTGGCCTTTGGCTCTATTGAGTAGTTAGCATGGGCACCACACACTATTTTCAATCATCTGATGATTAACCCAGTGGTAATCTTTGTTTTGTGATTGCATTGACATTGAGTAGTTTTCAGTTGAGTGACGTAAAACCAAAACCAAAGAAATCACTCTGGCCGATCACAAACAACACATTAAGCAATTCAATGGACCAATCAAGACTCAAACTGACGCAAATCGTGGAAAAATGTGTGTGATATCAAGTTAAGATTGGTTTTGGGTGAGAAAGTTGCGCCAGTTTTTTTTACATGTAAGCCAATCGCGTAGCGAAGCAATGCAAAACCAACTGATGTATTGCCTAGAAAGTAAAACTCTCTCACGTAGTCGTTATTTGGGTCATCAAGCAACGCTCCTTCCCTCCCTCTCTCATTGTGCTACAATCAATTTAGTCAAAATATTGATCGCAAGGATCGGACAATTTGAATACCTGTGAAGGTTCCACTAATACAGTTAGAGGCCCATCAAAAAGCCAGGTTTGAAGTTTAGGAAGAGAATATTTCCTAAATTCTGTCGTGAGATTTCTTTAAAATTTGATGCGTAGAAAGGCAAAAAGCTTCTTAAAAAGTTAAATAAACAAAATCTTACGAGAGCAACATGCTCACGTCTACAAAACTTGATTTTCCTTAATAAGTTTTGTTGCTCTTGTATGATTTTGATTATTTTCTTTTTTCAGAGACTCGTTGCCTTCTTACATGATAAGATGTCATGGAAGAAGTCGATTTCGGTGTAGCCACGTTAGCTCTTAAAGTGATTTTATTAAGGCCATGGGATCGGAGCTCAGCCAAGAAATTATGACTTAGAAATGCTTGGTAGGCGCCTCTGGAATAAATCGAAAAGAGCAACATCTAGAAATAATATCTGTGATGGCCAGCAGAAGGAGCTGAGATGAAGGAATGAATATATTTGATTTGTTAGTAGAGAGTTTGTAGAGTGAGACGTAACCCGATCATTCTCCTCCAATATAAGACTACAACGCCTACGGTTTAATCGCTGCTTTACAATTCGTTTTTACAATATCTATCTATGAACAATGCAGCATTCGTAGGTTTTTAAAAAAGAAAACAGTTCACTTGCTCATTTTTGTTTTACAATCAATCGTAGTATATGGTTGGTCTGTCATCACATGATAGTGAATATATCGAACCTGACTGCTGTCTGCAATTCCTTTCTTAGAGTCCACAGAATTACAACAATTCATTTCATTTTCTCGGAGACAAGTTCTTTGTAGTAACTATTGGCCACGATGAGTAGTACCTCAACATTCGTTCCACAGCGGGCGTGTTAAAAACTCACCACTTTTCGTTTAAAAGTTTCAAAATATACTTTAAAAACATCTGCGCTTTAACACCATTTTCTTCCAGCATCATTGATCCCATTACATTTTGTCGTGGGTTAAAAAACGATGGAACAAACTAATTCGAAAGCCAATCATTACATTTCATGAATATGTCCTTAACTATTTCTGGGTCAGGTTCTTCACTCGACGCAACATCCGAAGCATTTTCTGACCGTTGAGTGTATTGCTCGAATTCACGAAAGACAGTTTCCACTCCATCCTTCGTTGCTTTTTCTTCTATGGAGTAGAAGAGGGCCATTTTTAGTATATATGATGGCAAAATACCTTCGACGGTTTCAAACAGAACAGGGTCCTCATCGGAAGACAAACTGTCATGTTCACTTACATACTGCATCTTCGCGTCTCTATACTCCTCAAAGCTAACAAAGGGACAAATAGCAGAGCTGATCAGCGACTTGGCAGCTATGTAGCTATTTCGAATTCGATGAAGGCATCTTTTCATAATAGCAGTCTCAACAAGACACAGAGAACATCTCCAAAGTCCGTCATCGTCTTGACTCGTCAGTTTTGGAACAGCGAGACAGGGAAGCTGTAAAAAATCTGGAACAAGGAGTGGAGACTGGATTCGAAAATTGTCTGGCCAAGAAGGAAGACGAACTGCGGGGACAAAATCAACTTCGATTGCCAGAGTTTTATATCTCGATCCTTTCCACAAAAGGAAGAACTTGGGGTCATTGGTGACGTCCTTCATTACCAAGCGTTCATCTTTTGGGAACCTTTCATCGAAAACGATATTGGATAGTTGCTGTGCGAATAGATTAAACATCATGCAATTTGAAATCGCTTTCGGTCCCAGGTCTTCAGTAAACTCTGAGTACTCGTAGCTTGTGTGATTTTTCAGAAAGATTTGAGTGTAATTTGACACTGATGATGAAGTT